AGCGGACGCCCGGCTTGGGGAGGATACAGCAGGCGCCGGGGTGGGTTTGCGGCCGTGGGGAACGCTGGGGCTCATTGCAGGGTGGGGAGGGCTGCGAGCTGGCCTGCAACGCTGGGCCCTGGCTCCTGTGAGCTGCCCCTCGCTAGACAGAGTGGTGGTGGGGAACTGGGCTGAGCAGCCCGAGGCATCTCCCAGGGCACAGGCAGCTCGAGGGGGGTCGGTGCCGCTGGCCTGGCGAGATGCCGATGACAGATGTATTATGGAAACCGCAATGTGCTGCCCGGGGAAGCACCTACGTGCTGCAGAGAAGCGGGTGCTTCCCAGTTACCAGCAGCTGGTCTCTCCTTGGCCTGACAGCTCAGGCTGTCACCACTGCTTTTCACCTGCCACGCTTCCCAGTACAGCAAGATTTAGTTATCGACACCTTCAGCAGTCAGGGAGAGAAGATCAGTGATGGGAGAGCTCCTGCAGTGTGCCTGTGCTGTGGCAGCAGCTCCTGGGAATCCCCTGGCCAGTCCCACTCCTCCTGCCTTCCACCTTTTTTAGTTTGTGGCTCCCATTTGCCTCCTCCTGACACCGGTGTTATCCCACTGAGGGCTCCTCGCTTCCACTCAGGAGACAGCAAAACCACGTGGATTTTAGCCCATGTAAGTGATACCGGAATCTGGCTGATGTTCCCGGACCCAGCAGAAAAGCTGCTCGCCCTACAACAACGCCCTGTAGATGTGTAGAGAAATGGGAAGGCTCAGGTCTTCGCAAAAAGGTTTGCCTGGTTGAGGTCGTACCTTTGAGGCCCACACCCATGGAGCAGCCAGCACCTAAAGAAACTGGGACCACCGCATGAGAAAGAAGTAAGAGAAGCAAACCTTGCTGAGGGTGGTTGGAAAAGCTCATATAACCGTCTAAACCTGAGCGAGGCTTTGAAGGTGAAGCATCATGGGGGCTTGCACCGTTATCCCAAAGCAGCTGGAGGGTGGGACTGGAGGGGCTGTGCTGAGCTGGGCAGGGCAGTGGCTGGGGTCTCCCCACAGCCTCAGAGCCATCAGCTGCGTCTCCTAACGCACACTCAGCTGGAGAGGAAAGAAAGACCCAAACCCTCAAGAGCTGGCACATCGCGTGAGCCGCAGTCAGAGAGGGAGAGCTCATCCCCACCTACAGGCACCCGTCACCAGCGAGGACAGACACGTGTATCTCAAGGGAGGACTTTAGGAACTCCTTTTCACACCCTCCACGCCAGAGCAGGCATTTCACAGCAAAGCCCAGCCCAGGGCTGCCTGGACAGGGTCAGACACCTTCCACCAAACCTGGAGCAGCCTGGCAAGGTGGAAAATCCTTCCTGGTGTCCAACCCGAGCACGGACACAGAGGCCAGACACCCCACGTGCCCTGGATCAAGTCTCCCCCGCCAGCAGCACTGATGTAACCCCCCCAGCTGCTCCCACCCGAGCTGTGCTCTTGCAGCACAAGGACAAGGTCACCAGAGCGCGCTCGCTGCAAGCAAGGTCCTGCCCCGGCCTCGCCGGGGTGCAGTGGGGCTGGCAGCTGCAGGGGGAAGGCGAGCAGGAGCCCAGGGTGACCCCAGAGCTCACCATCACCCCCTTGCCAGGGTCAGCGAGCAGCAGGCAGAGCAGGCAGCAGGGTCTGCTGGCAGCCCCAAACGCACCCAGAACCAAGTGACCAGGAGGCAGGAGCCAAAGGGGACAGGGAATAAAACCAAGGCTGTGACACAGGTCCACCACCCACCCTGAAGATTGTCCCACACCCAGGACTTGCCCTGGGTACCAGCACCCACCTGGGGCAGGAGCTGCTTGCAGGGGTGATGTCCAGCAGAGCATGGCCAGGAGCAGAGCTGGGAACCAGCAGCATCTTTCAGGAAAGGACTAACACCCTCAGCTGAGCTTAAATAACCCCCTGGGCCCATGGGTGGAGTGTGGGTCCCAGGTGAGGCTGCTCAGGCCCATGAACGGGTAGTCGTGCCCCTGGGAAGATGGTGATTTGGCCCTGCAGCTGCCCAGTTGAGGCTTTACTGGTTGCATGGCAATGCTCAGCTGGGCTCTGCTGGGGTTGCCACAGCAGTCGCTGCTGAGCCTGGTGCACCCTGTGCCTTGGTGATGGCCCATGGTGCTGAGCACTGAGGCGGGGCCCAGTATGGCCGTATGTATGGAAGACATCATGAATTGTTCTTGGCCAAACTCTCTCCGTGTTCAGGCTTCTCCCCCTTGCACCAGGGAGTTGCCTCTGTGCCCGGTGGATCCCTGCTCCTGGGAGTCCTTTCCTGAAGGGCTAAAGACCAGCCACGAAAATCACCCTCTCAAAGGCTTGGAAATTACCCGAAATACCAGCACAAGCTGGAGCAGGACTGGGCATAACTGAGCATCCCTTCACTGGGGCTCAGGGCAAGCTGCCAGCACTCAGGATTTGTGCACAACCCCTTGGTAGGTGTGAGCAAGACGCGCCTGCGAGGACAAAAATTACGTTGGTGCCACTTGTAGCCCATCCCCACCCAAAGTGTTTTGGTCCCCTGAGCTGGGACAGGCCTTGAGATCGTGGTTTTAGGTCAGAAGTTGGGTTTTCAACCCAGAAGTCAGATCTTCAACCCAGAAGTCAGAGGTTTGGTGCCGCTGGTGATGCTGTTAGAGCAGGTTGAGATGGCAGTTGTCGCGGGAGGGGATGGCAGGGGTTTCTAATCCCTGTGTTCCTCTTAGCGGCCGTTATTTGGGGAGGTTAAAAAGCAGCTTCTCCCCTGGCTCAGTCCAAGTTGCCTGTCCCGGTTACCCTAGCCCAAAAACATGTGCCTAACTGCCCCTTGGTTTCTTCTGCTGCAAGCTCTGAGTCTTCTTAGGGCTTTTTTGGGGGAGGTTAAAGGCATCTTTCTTCTCCAGAGATGCTCTCCCATGGCATGATCTCAAATGCTGTTATCAGACCACATACCCACCTTCTGCCCCTCTTCAAGTCTGTCCCTGCTGGGAAGAGTTTCAGACCTCAAATCCTTTTTTTTTCTTCATTCCCCTCTGGGGTCCCCACAGGGGATGGAGCCTTTGTGGCCCCGATTCCTCCCGAGCCCCCTGCGGGGGGACAAAAAGCCCCGGGTGCCGGTGGCTGTGTCCCAGGCGGTTGCTGAGAATGGCTCTTTGTTCCCAGTTTCTAATTACTGGTCCCAAGCAGCTCGTTAACCGCTCTGCCCTGCGCCCTCCCGTCCCTGCAGCCACTGCTCGGGGGGAACCCTCCCTCCCCCCCACGTTGGGATGTGCCAGGGCTCAGCTTCTGAGTGCGGATTTTGGGGTGACACATGAAACTGTCTCAAAGTGAGCTTGGGGTGAAGCTGCCAGCGTTGCTTATCTCTTTACACAACCCAGGGGGATTCAGGGAGTACCCAGAAAGGGGGGGTTGTACGTGGCCAGAGCAATGGTCCACCAGCCACCAGCAATGGTCCATCCAGAGCCTCCCTTGCAAATTCCATCGCAGTATTCTCAGCCAAAAAATAACCGGCTGGCAGAAGCCTATTGGTGTATTTTTGGGGGAGCCAGAGACAGTAGCTGCCCCACCATCCACGTGCGGTGGCTTTGGGAAGCGGCGGAGGAGACGTGGTTTGCTCTGAGCCTGAAGCATCACACAACCCTAAGGAGGGTTCAGAGCTGGAGTCCTTCCCCCAGCACCCCGCTTGCCCCGGGGCAGAGTGGAGCCCGGCCATTCACTCCCCGTGTGTCCAGATCTGGGAGCACAATCAGCCCTTTGGGAAGCTCGATATGAATGATTTAGAAACAAGTTTTGGACTCTTCCGTGGAGGGAGTTTGCATTTGCATTTGAAAACTGCGGAGGAGCTGGCGGTGCTGGAATGGGGGGGACGGGAGCACTGGCCGGGTGCTATCAATGGGAAACTGTTCTGTCTAATGCTCCCGGGGCCAAAAAATGTGAACTCTGCAGATTTCTGGCTCCGTTCGTGGTCAGAATTGCTGGCTCCGTTGTCAGTGCCCGGCTGCTCTGCTCTCAGCTATTACCGGCTCTGCTCGGAAGCTGATTTTCCTTTGCTGCCAAAGCGGAGAGGGATTTGGTGAAAGATGGGCTGGACGGAAGGTGCCCGGGATGTGAAACAGGGGGATTCGGCTCGCTGCATTCAAGAGCTGGGAAAGCTGTTTGTGCTCTTCGGTCCTGATCAGCCCAGCATCCGACCTGCACCGATTTCAATGCTAAAGCCATCGGTTTGCCTTTGCATTGGGAGGCCTGATGCGCTCACGTCACATAAGACCCCCCTTAAGATCCCACAGGCTTGTGCCCTGCCTGCTTTGTGCCTGTCTGTGTCAGCCCCAGGACACACCACCTCCTACCCCACCGTCCCCATCCTTCTTCTCCAGCCCCCACGCCTGCTCTCGCTGGAGATGGGGCCGGCATCTCCTTGAGCCCTGCGGGAAACCAACCACCCCTGGTTCAGGCGGGGACGGCGGCGGAGCGGGGGGATGCTGCGGAGAGCAGGGGCGAGCTGGCCGTGGCAGCTTGCCTCGGTGTAGTGCGTGCACGAATAAAACCCCGGAGAGCTTTGCACTGAGCTGGAAATAATGGCATTAGGAGCGCTTGCTCGCTTCTGGCCGCTGTTTGGGTTGGCTGAGGCTTTTCGGGGCCGGCTGAAGGGCTGCAGCACGTGGGGGGTTTGCTCCTGGTTTGAGCACAGCTCCGGGAAGGTGAGTAGGAAAAGCTCTCCGGGCGCGGTGGCTTGTTCAGCAGAGCACAAGGGGAGGGACAGGGCCTGGCGTGGTCCTCACCGCCATCCTGGCGTCCGTGTACTCACCGGCATCCAGAGGTTTCCACTCATGGAGCATCCCATGGTGTGGAAAAGCTCTGCTGCTGCATCCTCCATATCCCAGTGTGGAAAGGACGAGTGCCCTGGGCAGAGAGCAGAGGGAATGGGGAGGAAAAATAGGCAAATGGTGAAGTGGTGTGTTTTCTTTTTTGTCTTTTTCTTTCTTTCTCCTTTGCCCAGGAGAGGCGTGAGGGCTCGCTGGCAGCATGCCGCTGGTGAAGAGGAATATCGAGCCCCGGCACCTATGCCGGGGGGCTCTTCCCGAGGGGGTGACAAGTGAGCTGGAGTGTGTCACCAACAGCACACTGGCTGCCATCATCAAGCAGCTGGGCAGCCTCAGTAAGTCACGGCGCAGCAACCCCGGCGTGGGACGGGAATGGGGTGGTTGGATGCTGGTGGGATGCTGGTGGGACACCATAGTTGCTCATTTCAGTTCCAGTCACAGAGAAACGGGGCCTATGTGAGAGCCACGCAGGCTGGAGCCACCCCTAATTCAGTGGGAATTATCCAGCTAATAAAAAAAAGGAGGATGCTCAGGGCCAAGCCCGAAGTGGGGGCTTGGTGACAGTTGTAGGACCCAGTTTCCATCCATAGCTGGTCTGTGCAGTGGGGGACAGAGAGCCTTCACGAGCCCCTTGCTTCTCGACTTGGCCAGAAATAGGAAGGTCAGGTGAAGATTAAAAAAAAACCCCAACCTGTTCTTTTTAATCTTAGAGCTTTACATGAAAGAGAGGTCTATATGAAAGGTCTAAATCCTCGGCTGTCTTCCTGCCCTGGGATTGATTTCAGCAGAAAAGGGGAGGACGAGAGCATTGCACGCATCAGTGTGAAGGTTTAATAGGAGCAACCTATTTCACTGCTGAATAGCGACTTAAAATAGAGAGAGAAGCACAGGCTCTTCAGGGCTCCCCCTTTTTCTTCCCTCTCCAGAACTAGATTCTTCTCTGAAATACCCCCAGAAAAATAAACCCTGTTTTTAGGGAGCTGCTGGAAGCGCGGCAGCTCTCATGAGCAGCACCCATGGGTGCTCAGGCTATGGCTAACTTCTGCAGGGAACAAGGAATCAAACACAAATGCCTGAGCCGGGTGACAGGCTGAGCAGATATCAAAAGCTCCTTGCTCTCAGAAGCTGTTTGAGACATGGTTTTGGAGGAAACCCCGAGGAGCTGGGGTGCTGTGCTGTGCTAGGGGCTGGGTGCTGTGCTAGGACGGGGGCTGGGCTGGGCTGGGTGCTGGGAAGAGATGGGTGCTGTAGCCTGCAGGTGTCAGCAATGCTCTGCCAGACTCCCCACTCAGCTCTGTGATAATAATAACCCTAATAAAGAGCTAGCGTGCTGCGGGAAAATAACTGCTAAAGTGAAACAAATCACAGCTTCTCCCTGCTGTAGCCCTCTCCCCGCTGCCCTTCTCTTGATTTTCCACCTTCTGGGCTGAGTTTCTGAAGGTGATGCTGCATGGCAAGGGGGTGACGGTCGTTTTTTGGCTGCACCTGCCCTGGTAGATCCAAAGGCTTTTTAGGATGAGCACCGCCATGGTTTGGTGCCTCCCATGG